CCTCGTCGCGAGGACCCTAGACGACATCAGAACAGATCTGGCTCTCGTCAAGGCAGTCGACCCAGGAGGCGCCATCAGCAGACCGGAGGAGGAGGATCGGGACATCTCTCCAGCATCGACCCGGAAGCCGCCATCAGCGGGCCGGGGGAGGACAATCAGGCCACATCTCTCTAGCAGGCACCCCAGAAGCCGCCGTCAGCGGGCTGGGGGGACGAAGATATGGCAAACCAAGACGGCACAGGGAACTCCATTTCCCGCTGAAACAGGTTGATATAGCCGGTGTGGAACTTTGTCTGAACAATCCATTTTTTTTTTGAGGAACTTTCAACTTTATTTTTATATCCCATAATGTAAGGGATTTGTATTTTTTTATTCTACAGAACTATGTGTTACCAAAAGAGGGAAAAGTATGATAATGTCTTTTCTGATTTCTGTGGCTACTTCTATTGCCATTTGAGTGACATGTGGTTGTTGTTGTTGTGTGCCTTGTATCTGCTCACTGTGTGTTAGACTCATCAGTTCCACCATTGAGGGAAGAGTAAAGATGACTCAGCTGACAAGGACTTTGCTTTTTAGACATATTTTATTCTCCCTCCACTGTCATAATAAGTTGTTGTTGTGGACTGTTCCTAAAGGTTTAAAGTGCTCTATATCCCAGCTTCTGATGGGTTTATATAAATGTTGGGACAGACACAGTAAGAAGAAAATTGACAGTGGTAATGTTTCAAATGCTATATGTTGATCTCGTGAGGTGAGATCAAAAGAGGGATTGAAGTAAGAAGATATGATTCTACACTGTATTGAAGTAAACATGTATTGTTTGAACTGTTTTATGTAATCACAACGGTTTGGGTAATTATATATAGAATAGGAATGTTATTCTCACTTTCAAACTCACTGACTCAGAGATTATGTGTTTCACACACCAACATTGATCCTTATCACCACTAAGAGCCAGATGCTGTTTCTAAGTCGTTAAAGACATCGTAAAATAGGAAAAGATCCCCTGGGAAGGAATGTAGAGTAAGATAAGGTAAAGATAAACATTGACTTTTGACCTAGTGTGGTTTGGGGTCTCACTCTGTTCGAAACTCTGATTGACCTCGGCCAGAAGCGAATCCAGCCAATCAGGACACTTGGAGGAGGTGGTCAGTTTAAACAGCTCCTCTCCAGGGCTTCTCTGATTCGCTTGGGAGAAAAGTGGGAAGGAAGAATCGACAAATCTCCGCCCCAAAGACAGATAGAAATACTGACGTTTGTGTGTGTAAAATTGCTTTTGGGTTTGGTGAGTGGCAGGTCCTGAGAACTGTGTCCGTATCGCATCACAAACCTGAAGTCCAATTTCTTTTTGGTTTGATGAGTTGGCGGGTCCTGACGCATTTGTCCGCATCGCATCACAAATCTAAAAGCCCGGGGTACCCGGAGTACTCTGTATAACTTGTATATGTGTTTGGTTTCCTACTAGAAGTAAACTCAGATAATTTGTTATAACTTTGATTCCGGTGTTTTCAATTCCTTTCTTAATTTAATAGAGATCCAGCCTCATCCAACGAACGGCGCGTAGCAGAGGTATTCTACTCCTACAAGCAACATAGAAAAGACGGTCACAACATGAGCCGGCGCTCTAGTTATTAGACAAAATAATTTCATACCTAATATTAAAATAGTAGAAAATAAACAATTGTATAGCTCGCATGTGTGTTATATTATAAATACAACTAAATTGTAAAAGTAATGTGTCACATTTCCGTTTGAAAATAAGGGATACAAAATATGGGATTAAAGGCTATTCAGCAAACACAACAGCAGAGCTGCAAACATTATTGAAGTAACAACCAGAGGTGGGAGTAAGTCCTACATGTGCAAGTCATGAGCAAGTCTCAAGTCTTGACCTACAAGTATCAAGCAAGTCCCAAGTCACTGTGGTGAGAGTCAAGCAAGTCAAGTCAAGTCATTGCTCAGGTCAAGCAAGTCAAGTCAAGTCATACAAAATTCTGATGAATAAGCCCAGTTTCCGCATTTAAATCAGTGGTTATGAAAATGGATTCAACCCACACTATGATCTTCATTACATACACAGTTAATCATTTGAAATCTAATTTAGACCGATGACAATCATATTAGATCAATATTAACCCTAGAACTGCAGACAATATAGCTAGGACTCAATCAAAAAGTCTGTTAAAAAAGGCAGAATTCCAGGTAAGAAAATCATATATGGCATTTGCCATTCCACATATTTAATTTAAATGTCTGTTAACACTAGAACCGCCAACAGCACCAGCACCTACATAGATATCATTTTCAAATCATTTAATTTGTTCCTCTTCATAATTTCCTTATAAACTAAGTAGGACGATTTAAAACTCACTTAATTGGGTTAATTTAGAAATGGCTTCAGTTTATCATCATAACAGATCAAAAAGTTCAGATTCATTTTACAATAAATCAAGGAATGATGCACTTCTACAAACAAAAACAACATAATTAAAACATTTAAACAAACTACTAAAAGTAGATGAACTACATTATTCAACAGTTTACAGTAACTTCTGATAATAACACAGGGGAAATAAACGAGGCATCTCTTTTCCTCTCTCTCTCTCTCTCTCCTGACAGCCCGTCAGTATCAGGGTTAGTCAAAATGAATCCCTTGGCGGTTCTAGTGTTCATTTACCGTTTTGTCTTCTCTTTGCAATGCTTAATCGATTTGAAACCAAGTCTAACATAGCTTAAACTTAACGATAGCTTTCTAGCTAACACAACACATTCACGCACCTTTCTCTGTGGGGTTTTTTGTACTGACGAATGAAGTTGGATGTTGTGGTGGTCGTGTCACTGATCTTTATGCTGCAGACTCTGCATACCGCTGTTCTCTTCTTATTATCGTCATCGACAACATAATCCTTGAATCGAAACTTGACTATTTGTGGAGTAACGCTAGCCGCTGCCATGTTAACTGACACTCCTGCCGTCTAGTGGGTTGCCAGGTTTGCGCGCACGGCGCTATAATCACCCAATCACGTTTCGAAAAAACTCAATGTAATATCTCAATACAAAAACAAACGCAAATATTTAATTTTAAAAAGTCAAGTCCTTTCAAGTCATCTGTCTCAAGCTTAAAGGTAGGGTAGGTAAGTTTGAGAAACCGGCTCGAGATCGCTAGAATTTGAAAATACACAACCGGAGAAAATCTGCCACTTCCTTACAGAGCCCCTCCTCCAACACACACAAACGCGCACATGACCAATGAGGGCACAAGATAAGTTTGTGCACAGATGGAAGGCTGACAGGCAGGTAGGCCATCCAGTTATTTTAGCCGGGCCGGCTAAAATGATTGGTCATACTTTTTACAGTATTACGGCTTCCACAGATGACATTTTTTTATGGATTTTTGTCAAAGCACTTCAGATATTCATTGCTATCGGGATGTTAAGAGCATTCCATGGAATATAACAAAAAATGTATCTCGAGCCGGTTTCTCAAACTTACCTACCCTACCTTTAAGTCAAGTCTCAAGTCATGAATACCAAGTCAAAGTCAGTGGCGAGCCGTGAGCTTTATACCTAGGCCCTCTGACCCCCACCCCTTCCCTCGAAAAAAAGAAGAAAAAAAGAGTTATTACGTCACAGCGTATACTTCAGCGGAATATCAAAACAACGGCCCAGGGTGCAAAACGCATCAATGACAGCGACCCTCTACCACACAAAACAACACCTGTGAACCCAATTTGTGTTCTTTGACATTGAAAATGATATTGCATTGTGTTTGTTACTTTCGTTGCAGTTGTATGTCTTAAGTGTAATTTGGCATGCTTTTATTTTGAAGGCGAGTTCACGCTGTTGACAGGAAGTTGTTGTTGCTATGGAAACAAGAAAAGTTTCACAGCGGGCGGAACTTGTCATAAAGTCCGCGATAATAAAACCCACCCATTTAGAGGGAAGATATGATTGGTCAATTGTACTGTCATTTGACATTACTCTCTCGTTGAGTTACTATAGCTGGCCCTCTGTGAATCGCAGAGAGGGCCAGACGAGCTTCTTTCATGTAACCCTTCACATTCAAACAGAGACTGAACAGGCAGATTCGAAGGCTTTATTTCTTTGGAAATGTTATTTTATTGAATCAAGTTTTTTTTCGGTAAAACTAATGAAAAATATAACAAAAATAATATTAAAAAAAAATATATATATTTTTTTTTTAATGTTTTTAAACAAAAAAAATTGGAATATCTTAGGCCCTCACAGAGGGCCTAGAGGGCTCTGACGGCTCGCCACTGGTCAAAGTCAAGTCACGTCTTTTATCAATGTTAGTCAAGCAAGTCTCAAGTCCAAAAATATGCGACTCGAGTCCGACTCGAGTCAAGTCATGTGACTCGAGTCCCCACCTCTGGTAACAACTACTCCTGTTAGTTCAGGAAACATACTGTGTGAACCAAGGCCTGAACAAAGACCAAAGGTTACTGAAATAGATGGCTACACAACCACATTGCCTGTCATACCCATGGACTGTATTGTAGCCCTCACTACCCACCGTTTCCAATGTGTTGCTTCACTTTCAAAATGTGAAAAAAAAGTGAAAAAAAAAAAAATGATCGGCCTGGTGTGTGAAAGTAAACCTGAGGCTTAAATTGTCAGGGACCCTATTGTTTTTTTTCACAAACACAAAAATAAGAAGCTTTCTCAGAGGATTTTTTCCAAAAGCGATTTTGGTGTTGCTATTATTCATATTTCAATAACAGGGAAATGCTGGGAGTGACTGTGTTCACTTTTGTAAAATTGACTGGATTATGTTGTCAACTTAAAATCTATTGAAATTGTGAAATGCTGCACATTATGTTCAGCCTGGTATTAGGAGAATGAGGAACAGTAGAGTGATCGTTAGGTAAGAGGAAATGAACGACACTTAGATCGCAAGAGACATCTATTAAAGGGACACAGCTAGTCACTGACAATGTGTTAGTTTCACTCACACACACACTGAAGCAAACATACACACACACAGTGGAGCATTTCCCTTTTATCATATTTAATACAGATGTGTACAGTGTTCTCAAAACAAAACAAGTTTGCAGTTGTTCTTTCATTGCTACCACAGGACCAGGAGGAAATGAATGCTATGTCACATGCAGACAGATAAAGGAGGAGATGTGAAAGTAACAATAAAACAAAATGTGCCGAAGACGAGAACAGGAAGAGAAAAAAGCCCTGTCTAGGAAATGAAAATACAAAGGCAGAAGTGCAAGTGAGAGCAATTGAGGTGTGCGGGATTGAGAGGGAGGATTACATTTCATGAGAAGAAGCAAATTGTTGAAAAGCAAGTGAAACTTTGGATACTGACTACAGCTACACTATGGGGTGAGTCTTAAAACGGTGATAATGTTAGTCCAATCGAAGCTGTGCTTTTGGGTTAGGTTTTTGTTACAGAACGCATCATGCGTAGCTAAAAACCTCCAGAACCGAAGCTTCCTATCTGCTTAAAACCCTCTTCGTTCCAACCAAATTTCCTGCTATATTTCTGGAGTACATAGCAGAATAGTTTTTAACAAATTGTGTTTAGCTAGTATGTATCTGTCACCATCACCCAGCACTAAGGAACAAATGACATCAATCCTTAGCAATTACTGTATCACATGCATTAATATTAATATACACATTTATAATTGTATCTATATAATAATATAGTACAGTGCTACAAACCATAGGTGCAATGATTTGTGGATTGGGTAAAAGGTGTATTAATGCACTTAGCTGTTCTGGTAGTTTATTTGCATTTTTGTTTTGATCATGTTTCATTGTTATTGATCATTCAATCACTTTTTCCTTTCTTATTTGACTTTTGACTCTGTTCTGAGATGCTTTAACAATTGATTCCCCCGGTAAGGTATACATAACGTTTTTAAGAAAGAAATAGTAGTCCATATTAGGTAGCATCGTGCCGAACACAGGAAGTTGTCAAATCATAAAAAACATTTTGGCAGGAAGTCAATATTTCCCACAGGCTACAGACTTTGCAAAACAAGTTAACTCAAACATAACTCATAGTCATAATGATTCAGACTGTAAAGTAATGAAATAAGTGTAAAAGGAATATTCTATGACAAATGGGCAAAATCATAGAGGTGCTTTAAAAGAAGAGGTTTGATGTCACTTTTTTGTAAAATTATAAATGATGTGTCTTTCCCTGTAACGCTTCTTTATATTCAAGGCAATACATTTCACTGCACTGATTTGATAGTTATTGTTGCTGATTTAGATTTAAAAATATACATTTAAAGGTTTAAAATATGTATTAATACAGATTACATTATGTATTATACTTGTACTATACTATACAATGTCAGCAGCTCATATGACTTGACCATTTTTTTTAAATGTGCACAACATCAATGTTCTTGTCTGGTGTTCGAATTATACCTGCTTATTATATATATCCTTACATATTGAGTGAGAAGAAGTTACACCATACACAGTGCAGTGCCCTCCACACAAATATTAGAGACTGAATATGAATATTCACGCATTACCGCTTCAAAACCAGGTGTCCATATCTACATTACTGCCACAACACTACACATTTGTTTTCCTCCACATTCAGCAACCTTATGTTCTTTACTAATGAGCATGAGCAGCATGTCATCATTTTTCATAATTTCTCCTCCCCAAAGTGAGTCTAGTATCTGCCAAGTAAGAGCAACAGTCATGCTGTATGATGATGTCCACAAGCGATGGGTGCCAGCGGGATCTGAGGCTCCTTCCATCAGCCGAGTCCACATCTATCATCACCCTGGGGCTAATACCTTCAGAGTGGTGGGACGCAAACTGCAGGCTGACCAGCAGGTACAGCACACCCTGAGGGAACAACTCACTTGGAAAACAATAGAATGCAAACTCAGCTGTAATTCCAGTTTAGCTCAGTTTCACCAAGTTCAATGAAAATATTTCAAGTTTGCCTGCTTAAAACACAGCATAACCTATTCAACATTAGCCTCACTTCTCCTGAGCTCATAATTGAATTTGGTCTATCTATGCCAGGGGTGCCCAACCAGTCTCCCCGCGATCGACCGGTCGATCGCGGGGAGATTCCCAGTCGATCGCGAGATGTGTCTAAAAATAGAACAACAATATTCTGTTTTATCGTTAATGTCCTATAACATAATCTTCCTGTGCCAGAATAATGCACTTGAACGCATCAAAGCTTTGTGATTGGCCGGCGTGACCCCATGTGTCGGGGCGTGGCTGGTGGGCAGTGGGCACTAGTTATCTGACGTTGTCCGTGTCAACAGGAGTGACAGTCCGCACACACAAGACCGCAATTATGGCAGAAGCAAAAAAGCCCAAAATATATCATTTTCACTCCGAGTGGGAGGATGATTATTTTTGTATCTATTCCAATTCAAAGTCCATCTGTCTCATCTGCAATGCGAGCGTGGCTTTACCGAAGAAGGGCCATTTAGGAGCGGCATTTCAAAACAGTGCACAAACGCTACGAGACGGGATTCCCTCCTAATTCTGCCCTACGCTCCCAAAAGGTGAGGGACCTGAAAGGACAGCTAAATGCACAGCAGTCCATTTTCACCAGGCCCAACAACAAGAGCAAGGCTGCTACCATAGCATCTTATCGTGTCAGTCACGTTCTTGCCAAACACATGAAGTCTTTCAAAGACGGCGAAGTTGTGAAAGAAGCATTCCTGGAGGCTGCCGACGCGCTTTTTGGGGACAGTAAAAATAACAGTAGCATTTCAACAGGTTTTTGATATAATAAAAACTCAAGTTAGATACCGTTATTAAACAGCTGTAAGTTTGAGTTTGTTTGAACTTATTCATTATAATTATTGTACAAAATGGTATAAGAATGCAAACATTAAGATCTGTTCTGTTTAAATTGATTATAGTCTATTATCAATTCAGGTTAAGAAACTAGTGTTGCTTGCATCCTATTTTAAAGGCATTTCTTTTTATACTCTACTAAAATGCAACAAAAAAAGGGTTTGATTCTGTTAATTTTGTCTTTTTTATTGCACTTTGGCAGCAGATTCCTGTGTAGCTTCAGATCCGAGTTGTTTTATGAGTAAGCCTAATTTATACTTTTGTAGCAACACTATTTTTTTATAATGGCAAAGAAAGGGTTCAGAGTCTTTTCTTTTTTTCCTGTGTCATATGTGTCAGCACTGTTTTTTGTCTCTTGAGTTACCGTGGCTGTTGGGGGAGGTTACTTCCTGGTTCAGCAAAGGGTGTGGCCGAGCGCTGAGGACTTATAAATACTGCAAGGAGCCAATTGGGACAGATTGGGACAAACCACCTGCTTCCATGTTAAAGGGGGGATTTGGGTTTTTGTCAGTGTCCTTTGTATATTCTGTTACTATTAATTATCCCTTGGTTTCAACTTGGTTTGGCCAAGCCACTATATACAGGTGCATCTCAATAAATTAGAATATCGTGGAAAAGTTAATTTATTTCATTAATTCAATTCAAAAAGTGAAACTCATATATTATATGGATTCACTACACACAAAGTGAAATATTTCAAGGCTTTATTTTTTGTAAATCTTAATGATTACGGCTTGCAGCTAATGAAAACCCCAAAATCATTATCTAAGAAGCCGGAAGCACCACAGTTGTAGTTCTTCCGGTTTGCAAAGACATAGGGTCTTAAAAATATATATCTACTAAGTATATAAAATATATAGTATAGACAAACTAGTAATTACACTGCATCAAGATTATGTATATTAAAGGTGGGGTACGTAAATTTGAGAAACCGGCTCGAGATACACTTTTTGTTATATTCCATGGAATGCTCTTAACATCCCGATAGCAATGAATATCTTAAGTGCTTTGAAAAAAAATCCATAAAAAAATGTCATCTGTGGAAGCCGTAGTACTGTAAAAAGCACGACCAATCATTTTAGCCGGCCCGGCTAAAATAACTGGATGGCCTACCTGCCTGTCAGCCTTCCATCTGTGCACAAACTTATCTCGTGCCCTCATTGGTCATGTGCGCGTTCGTGTGTGTTGGAGGAGGGGCTCTGTAAGGAATTACCAAAATTACCTACCCCACCTTTAAGAAAAAGATGTTGGTTTATTTAAGATATTTCTAGATATTCTAGAAATGGCGTTTTTTGGTTGGTTCTTTCTTTTTTGGTTACTGTGATCTTCTACAGAACATTGTTGGCTACTGTGATCTTCTACAGTACATTGTTGGTTACTGTGATCTTCTACAGTACATTGTTGGTTACTGTGATCTTCTACAGTACATTGTTGGTTACTGTGAATATCTGCAGTACATTGTTGGTTACTGTGATTATCTACAGTACATTGTTGGTTACTGTGATCTTCTACAGTACATTGTTGGTTACTGTGAATATCTGCAGTACATTGTTGGTTACTGTGATTATCTACAGTACATTGTTGGTTACTGTGATCTTCTACAGTACATTGTTGGTTACTGTGAATATCTGCAGTACATTGTTGGTTACTGTGATTATCTACAGTACATTGTTGGTTACTGTGATCTTCTACAGTACATTGTTGGTTACTATGAATATCTACAGTACATTGTTGGTTACTGTGATTGTATACAGTACTTTGTTGGTTACTGTGATTTTCTACAGTTGGGACGTTACAACTGCTATTTCTACAGTAACTCCAGGGTTGCTGTAATTTTTGGTTGGAAACACGGTATTATACTCTAAAATGGTATACAGTAATTTACTGTGCACAAACACTGTAAATAACTGTGGATTTCACAGCCATTTTTTACAGTGTAGCTCTTGGTTCAAAAAAGGTTGGGCACCCCTGATCTATGCAATACATCCATGCCAGCAGCTAACCCTATTCAATAGAAATAAGAAGTCAAAGCTTGTTCCCATACTTTTGTAGTTTTTAGTTTTGTTGAGATGTGGCTTCTTCAGCCTGCTCTCACATCTCACACCAGACATGGCGTACTGTCAGAGGTTGCTTAAAGACTCAGTCTTAAGGTTGATTGGATGATTGTATGTCCCTGCGATCAGATGGGAAATGAATTAATGTGCTCCTTTTGTCCAATACAGTGTCACCACTGGAGGCCAGACAGCTGATCAGAATCAGGTAATGAGTCACTAAATAAAAGCATGCTGGTAACCTGGTTCTGGTCTCCTTGCAGTAGTCTGGGTCCTGAGAGGGAGATCCACTGACACAAAGCAGCCTCAAGAAATAAAGGACGGCTGTATTGTTTATGTTACTTTGTGGAATACCTCAGTTTCTGCCACCCGGCTATTTTTAATAAACTTTGTTGTTTTTAAGCACCACTATCAGAATGGAAGGAGGCTGCTCCGTGTCAGTGGATCTCCCTACCAGCATGCTTTTATTTAGTGACTCTTTACCTGGTTCTGATCAGCTGAGCCACTCTAACCACACCCCGCTGCCACAATAACATTACCTAAACTTTGAGGTGTCATAATCTGTATAAACTGACAGATACATCATACATCTGAGTCAAATTAGTTTGCATAACTCTTAATGTGTAAGGTGTTTGTGACAAACTGAGCTAAGACCCCCAAGCTCTCAAATCCTTCCTCTCTGTTAGGTGGTGATCAACTGTCCTATTGTCAAAGGGATAAAGTACAACCAAGCCACTCCAAACTTCCATCAGTGGCGGGATCCCAAACACGTGTGGGGGTTGAACTTTGGCAGTAAGGAAGATGCTGCTCTTTTTGCCGACTCCATGATGCATGCATTGCAGGCTCTTCATTCTCCAGCAGGCACAGGTAGAGCAACAGGAAGAGTTCAGCAGGAAGGGCAGGGTGTTACTGTAGCAGTCATGCTGTTATCTGTGTAGCCGCTATGTGTATAGCATAAATGATATTCAAAGCCTGATTGTGTCTTATAAAGGGAACACACTGATTGAAATAATAAACAGGTCATCACTGCATTTTACAATTGTTTTGCATTTTGCTATAGTCCTGCTGCTGTGTGTTGAAAATGTGATATTGCACTGACATATGGTTTGAAATAATAATAATAATGTATTAATTCCAGTGAGTGACAAATTACTTCATCGCTTGATTTTTTACATACAAAAGGAAACCACTACATTGTATATGATGAATGTATACTATCAAAATGAACGTAAGGTTACTAGTTAGGTTATTTTCTCTCTCTACTACAACCTTGTTTTCATCTACTGTGTTCTTTTGAAAAGTGTTGATTTAGAGGAGAACACTTATTCGTTACAAATAACAATGTTTCTGCTTAGGCCCGGCTCAGAACGGACCCTCTTCACAGGAGCTGGAGGAGCATACAGGGTACTATTTCCTATAAATCATATATATCAGTGATTGTCATCATGCTTATTTATTCCTTTTTTAACATTTGAGATCATTTTCCAAAAGTATGAAGTTTCTGTCCGATTTCTTTTATCAATCCACAGTCAAAGAGATATTCAGTTCACTATGATAAACTGATAATCCCCACATTCGAGAAGCTGGCACCATAGGCGCTTGTACTAAAATCTCCCAGAACTAAATGATATTGTTATGGATTTAACTCAGCTGAAAGAGAAGCAACACTTAAATATGACACAATTTTTAGAAACTGCTGGGTTTTCACACCAACATTAGAATGTGTCCACGTCTGTCCAGGGCCGAGTGTCAGAGGCAGGAGAAGGAGACCACTGCCCCTGCTGCTCCTCCTGCCCCTGCCACCACTCCACCCTCCCCCCCTGGACCCCCACCACCTCCGGGCCCACCACCACCAACTCCTGCTGGGGGAGTGGTCCCACCTGCACCACCACCGCCCCCTTCAGGAGGAAGTGGGGGTGGAAACAATCTGGCGACAGCTCTGTCAGGAGCCAAACTGCGTAAAACTGTGAAGGTAAAGAACTTACAATCTCTCTTGAAGTACTCCACCAATGCAATCACCATGAGGGAGAGCAATGTATCATACTGTATCAAAAGATGCAGCTTGGCATAAGTGAAGGATGACTCTAGTTTCGCACAATTGACAGACTGTAAGCTGATCAATTAACCAAAGTCCTGAACATGACTGAAGTTGTTTTTGTGTATCCAGGATGAGGGAGGAGCAGCAACATCAGCATCCTCCTCTGGGGGAGGTGGAGGAGCTGGTCTAATGGGAGAAATGAGTGCCATCCTTGCTAGGAGGTAAGTTATTACTTAGGAGACATAAAAGACAGTTATCCTCTAAGTGATGATAATAAAATTATCTTAAATAGGAGGAAAGCTTCTGATAATCCTGCTGCAAAACAACCTGAGAATGTAAGTCTCCTGATTTTTCTCACTATTCTACAAGGGTTGTAGAAGGAGCCATACACTTTTAGGCATGAGTTTGTTTGTAAGAAATGTTTGCTACATTTATGTGCTTGCCTGCAGGAGGATACCCCAAAGTTCTCAGAACCGGGAGGTGAGTAGTGCCACACACCCATATATATATAATAAATCCATCACATAAATATGACTTTTCATTTCATCTTCTTGCTATGTACCGTATTAATACATCTTTCATCAGAAATCGACGGAAAGTCCAAAGAAAAATATGCTACAATTCCAAGGTAAGCCCCTGATTCATTAGGTTCTCATTATCCACGTGACTCATCATTACGTTATGTTTACCAAGCACCTTTCATCTGCTTTAGCTATCCTTATAATTAAAAACCCAATCAGCCTTAAAGGATCGGCATGTTTTTGCAGGCCCAAATCCTTAAGCAGCAATCAAAAGGACTCCAGCCCCAGCTCCTCCGCTAATCCCTCTTCTAACTCAGCCACTTCCCCAGGGTCCAGTTCAGAGGTCGCGTTAACCGAATATTTTCCGTCTATGACGGAATTTTTCCAAGAATGACGGGAAAATCTGAAAGCAGTCCGTCATTTTGACAGATTAGAACACAACTCGGAACAGCGCCAAAATGTCCACCAGCGGCCCACATTAAATTACATCCTTAGTGGCCAGGTCGACTGAGGGAGAATGTGTATAAATATATATATATATACATTTTCATAACAAAACAATGGGGTTGCTAGGCGCCGTTGCTAGGCGCCGCCCCTGCCTCGTTGTTTAACCGGCTTTAGCAATCGCAAAATGTTACGGCAGCTGAGTGTCCGAAGCTTTTTTAATAAGCCCAGTAATTGTGATGGTGTGGATAAACGAGGTGAAAAAAGAGGGATTGATGCAGTGGAGGATGAAGGACAAGCCAGTAAGACTAAAACTGACAACGTTCAGCCAGCAGCAGAGGGACAAGCAAGTGGCAAGGAGTTGAAGCAGGAGTACTGGGTTCAGTGGGAGCAAGAGTTTAAGTGGCTGAGGAGGGAAGATGGCAAAATGTTCTGCGACATCTGTAGAAAAGCTAAGATGAGTAACGGATTTGTCCGAGGGTGCACGACGATGCAGAAATCAGCGCTGAATGATCACAAAAGTAGCCATAGCCACATCGAAGCTTCAAGGGTGGTCAACCAGAGCGTGGCAATGGTAAAGCATGTGGAGAAATCGCAGGTTGCCTGTAACGAGGCATTAAAAACACAATTACGACTGTTAATAACATATACACATACTACAAGAATTCCCCCATTCGAACACACCGACTAAATGAACTCCAAAACGAAATGCAGGAACACGACCTGCTGAGCCTAAAACAACCATCAGCTACACGCTGGCTGTCGCTGGAGAGGGCAGTTAAGGGCATACGTGCCAACTGGGTTGCTCTGGTGTTGGAGTTGCAGGAGGAGGAAGCTGACAAAGACTGTCCGGTCGCTAAGGGGATTAGAAAGCGCCTCCAAACGCTCATGTTCCCTGCCTTGACTCACCTGCTGACTGACGTATTGGCCGTGGTGAACCGCATGAACCTCACATTCCAAAAAGAAGATGTCAACATCTCCTCCATCCAGCCCGTCGTGAACATGACCCTTGCCAGCCTCGAGGACTTGATGAATGGGCCAGGTGAGGCGGAGACCACATTTAACAAGGCTTTACAAGACGGCAACTTCTGTGGCATCACGCTCACCCAGGCAGACGCTCAGACCTTTTCACGTGTGCGCACAGACTACATCGCGGAGGTTACTAAATCCATCAAAAAAAGATTTCCTTCGGAGCATGTAGGCATCATCGCTGATCTCGACACCGTGATCAATGCATCTCGCTATCCGGGTGCTGACAGCGCGTTAAAGAGCTACGGACTGGAGGCCTTGGAGCGCGTCTGTGACAACTACGGGTCACAAAGGGATGCAGCTGCGCCACTGGTGCAGAAGGAGCGCATGCTGAGGGATTACCTCCCAGTGAAGCGAGTGCTTGCAGGATCGGGAAATCCCTCGTTCAGAGTCTTGCCGATTTCTGATCACTTCCCTGGGAGAAATGTTTCCCGACTACAAAACGTTGGCTGAAGTGCCGCTGGTAATTCCAGTCTCCAGCGTAGCAGCAGAGCGCGGGTTCAGCCTTCAGAACAACATCAAAACGGCCATGAGAAGTCGTCTGTCCGAGGCAAAGACCCAACGCTTAATGACAATCGCCTCTGCAGCAATCTCCCTTGATGCATTTGACTACGCACTAGCGAGCACCCAGTTTAAATCCATGCGGCCCAGGAGGAAGGTCTGAGTTCAGGCTAGGCTACAGCAGGTCAATTGAGTTGTTCTTGTAAATGTTTTGTTCATATTTTAATTGTAATTGTCTCATTTCAAACAATGGCATTGTTCATATTTGCCTGTTTAGGACAATGGTCGCGGTGTTTTAGTGGCCTCTGCCCCCCTCTGCTGTGCTGTCAGTGCAGGAAAAAATAAATCATTCATATTCGTGTTGACATGAAAAGTGACCGCACGGTCGGTGTCTGTTCATCTTTTTTCACACATACACAAATACACACGTTACCAAATAAGTGAGTGAGAGTGAGAGTGACGCATAGCCAAAACCTGAAGCTGCGATACTCTGGTGGCTACAATTAGCAGCTAATATTATTAAATGAATAAATAAAAAAATAAAATGATGGGTAATAATGGATTATGACGGAAATATTATGATCCTGTCCGTCAAAATGACGGACAACGAAAAAGTCTAATGCAACCACTGGTCCAGTTATCAGTCTCCCTGTCACGAGTGTTCTCTCCTCTGCCAAACTGCTACTTCTCTCACTCTCTGCTTCGTATGATGACTAGAGCCAGTGAAAAACTCTGTTTTATATTAGAGGTGTTGTGCTTGCAAATGACTCACTACAAAAAAAGCACCCCTTTTCTGTGTGAGGCTATTATAGCATGAGACTGAAACTTGTGTCTGAGCCGTCTGGTGACAGTTTTCTGCTCCACAATATGTTCCATGGTAGTGCCTGTAAATGCATTACTAGATGTCTTTATTGACAGCATGAACATGAACTGGGGGAGGGTTTGCTCATACAAACACCAGAGTGGTAATTAGTATTAGCATTAATCGAACAAAGTAATGGGTAAACAAATTGTTGTAGAAAGAAAGTCATTACCCTACAGTACCACAAACTCAAGTCAAATTATAGGATTATATTGATATTTATTATATAGAACATTCAAATGAAGTGGTTGCTCAACCTGCTCCTTGAAGTGCTTTTGTACTTTCTGATTAAAAGTGTCCGCTTCTCAGTGTCAGTTCTTTCAATAGTCTGTTTCGGCTAAGGGTAAAAATGCGTCTTTATATTTTAGAATGAAGGTGGGGAAAAATAACTCGGATGGCACCGGAAATGATATTGAAGGAATCAAACAGGTTGGTTGCTCTATTGAAAGGATCATCAAGGAAATGTGTTGACTTTTTTATAATCAACAAAATACTAATAACTTATGTTGTAATATTCTACATTTTTACAAAAAACAACAGGATTTGCAAGCAACAATAACCTTTGTTCAGGATGCCACTCTTGTGCCATGTTAACGAATATAGCTTTCAGACCATTTACTGAAATACTGATGATTTTCTAGGATTTGTCAACTACAACTTTTTTAATACCAAGGTTTTAAGTTATTGCATACATCTGTGTGTTTGAAGGAAATTATTGAAGAAGTGAAAAAAGAACTTCAAAAAGTCAAGGAGGAGATTATCACAGGTAGGCTATTGCATGCCATCAGTCGTTGTCTATACTATCAATATTCACTGAAATATTTTGTGTAATTCCTGTATATTACTTCTGTTTCTCTTCCAGCTCTGATGCAGGAGCTGCAAAAGGTCGAAGACTAAAAGATCCCAAAAACTATAACAAATATTTGTAATGTTTTGCCATTCAATGCTTGCAATTAATATATTTAAACATGTTAAAAAGAGGCAAAATATCAATGCCAATTTATTCATCACTATTTATCATTTTGTCGTTGTATAGTTTTGAGCATGACCATAACTGGATTTATATAACCAACCTACCAGTAAAATAATTAATAATGGATATTTATCAAAAAGCTTTAGCCTGTCCAGAGGCGTACGTCAAGGGTGTCCACTGTCTCCATATCTGTTTCTATTATGCATTGAAATTCTTGCTATCAGAATTAGAAACAATTCATGTATAACAGGCTTAAGATCAAATTGTATTGAAACAAAAGTAACATTATATGCAGATGATGCAACTTTCTTTCTACAGCCTGAAAAAACTTAATTAGATGCCCTCATAGTTGATTTAAATAACTTTTCAAAATTAGCTGGGCTAAGGCCTAATTTTGATAAATGCTGTATTATGAGAATAGGAACATTAAGAGGCACAGATTTCGAGCTACAATGCTCAGCTCCAGTCAAATGGTGTAATGGTTCCAGGGCTCGACATTAACGACTGCCCGATGGCCCGAGGCAATCTAGTATTTAGCTCGGGCAATGAAGCCTCACCTGCTGGTTGCCCGATCGGGCAATCTATTATGGCAATTGTGGAGACGTGTCAGTGCCTGACAGCGGTCAAATCGGTTGGAAAACGATGAAAAAGTTGCCAAAAGTCGGTCTACCCGTCTTTCTTCTTGGACGTCGCCCAGAGTTCCCGTTAGAATATTTTTTCGCCGGTTAACATGTCCGTTAAAGTTAAATTTTGCTCAATTTGACATTTTTTAGCTCTGTTTTTGCAAGTGCATTTTGCATGATAGGTCCCCTTTAAGTAAAAATATTCATACCACACTGTAAGAATACTCTATTACAAGTGAAAATCAGGTAATGAAAATGTTACTTAAAGGGGACCTATCATGCAAAATGCACTTTTGTACGTCTTTTATACATGAATATGTGTCCCCAGTGTTCCAGGGAACTCACCAAGTGTCAGAAAACACAACCCTCTCTATTTTCCTCCATACCCAAATCTATAAAAAAGGGTCTGCAACGGATCTGATCAAAACTGATCCAGATTTGAACACTGTCCTGACGTCAGGACAGTGGCGCTACGGCTATTCTGTTTGTTTTTATATGTGTAACTAAATGTGCCGCAGGTCTCCCTTGTAAAAGAGATCGTTGATCTCAATGGGATTTTTTAACCTGGATAAATAAAGGCTACAAACAAACAAACAAACATTGGGCCAACTCCACCAATCAGGAGGAGACAGCCACGGCCATTGCCGTTCGAAAGCGCTGGAGACGCTGTAGTACATATGCCAGGCCTGTAGATGGTGCTGTTCTCACAGAATCAGCCCTTGCAAAAACAGAGCTAACATTTTTCAAATTGAGCGAAATGAGGCATGGCTAAAATGCATGATCTGTTTGGTATTTTGAAAATAAAAAAGTATAAATATGCCTTATATAGGTATGGTCCTACACTATATTATTATAATATAGCATGATAGGTCCACTTTAAGTAAAAGTATAATTAGCTAAATGCTGTTTGAGTATTACATGTAAAAAGTACCCTGTAGTAATTGTAGTAACCCTTGAGAACGTAATAGCTCAAGGATTTCTAACAATATTTACATTTTTTTGTAAATTAAAAAACAGAACCTTATACTTTATAAACTCTATATAAGATAGTGAAGCACAAAGTACAATATTTCCCTTTGATTTGTAGTGGAGTATAAAGTGCAACGAAAAGAACATTCTCAAGTACCTCAACATTCCACGACTGCTTCTGCAAACATGTGGACTTTCAAGAGAAATCTTGAGGAAATTAAGTTCAAGAAAGATTTTTGCAAACGACAGAAGCGTATTTCATCTTTGATGCGTTACTTAAGTCCATTGCATGGATGATGTCCGTGAGCAGAAGGCAGGCGTTCACCCTCATCATGCACCGCCAATCCCTCGATGGAGATGGACACGTTGGGAGGTGTGGCGTCTTCTTTTGCTGCACTTCATGCGGGACATGGATCTTCACGACACTCAGCATAGTCCTTTTTCCACGATATCTTTGCCTCCATTCTGTCAAAACATGTAAATCAGTGTTAACATACAATACTGTAAACTTTTCTGTGAATTTACTAAGACTGATTGGGTTGAATTAGCTATTTAATTTAGTGTTTAAGTAGCCATTGATTTTACATACAGACAGTTTAAACAATCCTAGGAGATTTTGGCATTCCATAAAATCCCTCTCTGCCAGCTCTCGCTCCTTAGAGCTGCCCCCTAACATTGTTGTTGACTCCACCCCTGTGTCAAATAAGACAGAGATGCTTAATTGTTTTAATAAACATTGTATTGCCTCCAGTTCCTTGTTTGACACATTATCTTTTGGTAAATCATCTCGCTCCTTCACCACCAGTCATGCCTCCAGTAGCCACACTTTCTCCTTCAACCCCTTCAATGTTGGGGAGGTTTGTAAGACTCCAAAGGGCCTAGACACCAAAAAATCAGCAGGCCCGGACGATCTCCCCCTTATTTCTTACGGCTAGCTGCAGATATTATAGCCAAACCACTGTGTCATGTTTTTAATCTTTCTATAACAAACAATGTCATTCCAGATGTTTGGAAAACTGCAAATGTTCTCCCCTTATTGAAAGGTGGTGATCCCATGGTGATGAATAATTACAGACCAATTTCCAAGCTCTCTATTTTAGCTAAAGTACTTGAAAGGCTGGTGAATTATCAAATCAAAGAATATTTAAGCTTGAACAACATTCTATCTCCTCACCAGTCAGGCTTTAGGAAGCAGCACAGTTCAGTAACGGCTGCTTTGAAAGTAGTGAATGACATTGTTGAAAGCTTGGACGCAAAGAGCTACTGTGCTGCCCTTTTTATAGACTTATCCAAGGCATTTGATACTGTGGACCATGGCATTCTATGCCAGAAGTTAGCAAGCAATGTGTAAAATTCAGCAGTCTCTCCTCAAGCTTTCTTAATGTGGGTCTTGGGACCGACCCTTTTGACTATTTATATAAATGATGTGGGTCAAATTATTGATGCCTGTGTACCTCTATATGCAGATGATACTGTTGTGTACTGTTGTGCTAGCACTGTTGCCCTTGCATTTGAACGTCTGCAGTCTGCTTTTGACACTTTTCAGTCACATCTGTTCCACCTCAGGTTGGTGTTAAATTCAGATAAGACAAAAGTCATGTTGTTTTCAAATAAGAAAAAGTTACCAACTGTTCTTCCCTGCATCATGTCTGCACAGCATAACCCCATTGAAGCTGTTAACACCGACAGATACTTAGGCAGTGTTGTAGTCAAGTCACCAATTCACGAGTCCAAGTCACTCTCGAGTCACCACTCTTCGAGTCCGAGTCCAAGTCCGAGTCACCAAGGGAGAGTCGTAGTCGAGTCCGAGTTCAAGTCCGAGTCACCCAAGGAATGTCCGAGTCGAGTCCGAGTCATCATTACCTGTGTTCGAGTCCGAGTCCAAGTCCGAGTCACCCAAGGAGTGTCCGAGTCGAGTCCGAGTCCGAGTCATCATTACTTGTGTTCGAGTCCGAGTCCAAGTCCGAGTCACCTAAGAAGAGTCCAAGTCAAGTCCGAGTCACAAGTCTTCATGTATTAATCTTCGTGGATATGTGTTGAAATGTAGCTGCTCCTCTACATTGCTTTTATCCTGTCATGTTATACTAATCTGTCTATTGAACTGCTGTGAAGCCAGTTTGGCTACAATTCTTGTAATAGGTGCTATACAAATATAAAGCTTATTACTGATATTAATATTATTATTATATATAAATAAACTATGTTTAAAATGAGTTACCTTTTAGAGAAGTGATTATATTTGTATGCCAATATTTTCCTATGGTAAAGTTTTCGTTTTGCACTTTTATTTTGATAGTAATAAGATCGGGACTCTTATTTTGAAGGAAGGTTAAATCGGTTTACTGATGAAGATTTAGCCCCAGAAAGCACATGGCTACTTAGCATGCAAAATGACGTCATTCTGCATGTTAAGTAGCCATATACTTTCGTGTTATCGGCTGAATCTTTATTTATTGATTAGCTCACATTACTCTGATGATAGTGTTCAAGACAGCCTATATGTCTGAACTCGATGTTTAGAGTAATGTGTTACGGAGCCTTCTCTTCAATATTGTTTCCACATAGAGCATTTTGCGCTGCTCTTTTCCAATGTGGAAGCAGAATGTGTGAAAGCATACAGCACAATGCGGGGTGTGTCTCTAGACATCTTTAGACTGGAATATCGGGGCCCAGTACGTGAACTCGCCTCGCAGCCGATGCACACGCCAGGATAGAGGACATCAGACTCCATAGAAAACTTGCTCGAGTCCGAGTCCGAGTCCAAGTCGGAGCGTCAATGTACAAGTCGAGGTCGAGTCCGAGTCATCATGGGGGAAAAAATGCACGAGTCCGAGTCCGAGTCCAAGTCAGCGTACGCGATAATTCACGAGTCCGAGTCCGAGTCCAAGTCATCGTGCGCGAGAATTCACGAGTCCACGTCCGAGTCGCGTCAATCAGTGCGCGAGTCCGAGTCGAGTCACGAGTCCCGAAAATCGGCACTCGAGTCCGAGTCCAGGACTCGAGTACTCCATCTCTGTACTTAGGCATCACTATAGATGAAAATCTCTGCTTCAAACCACATATTGACAATCTCTTAAGGAAACTGAAATTAAAACTGGGATTCTTTTTTAGAAATAAGGCCTGCTTCTCCACAAGTGCTAGGAAGCGGCTTGAAGCTGCCACATTTTTGCCGCTCTTGGACTACGGGGATGTTGTGTACATGAACGCCTCAGCTCACTCCCTTCATCTGCTGGACGCTGTCTACCATGGGGCTCTGAGGTTCATAACCAACTGTAAACCCCTCACACACCATTGCACGCTGTACTCTTTAGTTAACTGGACGTCACTATCAATGCGCACTGGTACAAACTCATCTATACCGCTTGGACTGCTGCCCCTCTACATATCCACTTACATATCACACAAACAGTACAGCTATAGACTACGATCTCAAAATTACATCACTCTGTCCGTCCCCTCAGTATGTACGGAGCTTGGGAAAAAAGCCATATCATATTCTGCCCCCTCGACCTGGAACACACTTCAGCAGGAACTTAAACTGACCAGTTTGATACCCATCACAGATTTTAAACTAATTTTAAAAAAGCTGGAGAAATCATCTGTGGGTGTTTGCACCTGCTATATCTGAATACTGTATGGATTTCAATTACTACTTTTTTACGATGTTGTATTTTAGTGTTGCCTCTGTGTTTAGTGTCCTGTCTGTCTGTAACGTTGTGTGGTAGTGTTACCACTGAACAGGTCTCTCTTGAAAATGAGACCTTGTGTCTCAATGAGATTTTACACCTGTATAAATAAAGGCAAAAAAAAAAAAAAACATGTTCTTTTTAAGCAGAGGGGATGGGGTAAGCTTCAAAATGTTCAAAGGGCTTAATATCATATGCACAGTTGCTACAGTGTGGATATGGGAATTTATATTAACTCTTATTTGTTACGGTCAAAGTATGACTACAAGAAAGGAAGCTCAGTTTATTAAATGTTTGCTTTTTTCCAAACAGGAAGTAAACCTGATTAAATAATTGGGTTCTACAGGCTCAAACTATCAATTCTCCTGAAAAACACATTTTGAATCAGAATATTAAACATTGAAATTGAGTAAGTTTGAAAATATATATAAATATTATACAGTAAAATTAGATTCCAATGTACTTTATCTAAATGTTAACTTAAAAACTGGAGACTGAAGAGGTTTTTCACATACTGGCAAGATGTACTTACCTTAGAGAATAGAGATATTCATGTACAAACAGAACAGCAGACACATTTTAACACAAATCAAGCAGAACATTTACCTGGTTCTCAGCTCCTCTGCAGACAGAAGCTCCTTCAGGCGGGAGGGCGGCTTCCGTCT